AGATCTGAATATGATTCAGATCTAGAAACCTCCTAATGAGATTAGGAGAAGGCTGATCTAATCTATAGATAAGATAAGGGTTTACCCTTATCACCTAAAGAGAGGTTTGATCCAAATATGATTTGGATAAGCAACTCCTAATTTGGATTAGAAGCTGATCTTTTAGGGTTACAAAAGAGGGGGCGGCAGCCTTTAGAGAAAACACATAATCAGATCCTCTTCAGAGCTGAAATCAGAGAAGAAAGATTTCTGCAATCCCTGCAAAGATCTTTCTTGCCGCCTCCTTCCTGTAGCTGCCAGACATCCAGTTCGATCTCCAGTTGTGGGAGAAGTCAAGATTCGATCTTGACATCAGTTCTTTGAGAAAGAATTCTTGGAGAAGAATACTGCTGATTTTGCTCCATCCTGCACTGTGCCATCTTTAGTGGGAGCAGTCTTTGGATCATTCCTTGGTCGTGAACACCTTCGTTGGGAGATACTTTTTCTTCGTATCAGGTATAATCCTCTCCTACTCTTGGTTTAGATCTGGCTCAGTTTATGGTTCAAGATTGATCATTGAAAATATGATTTTCTAAATAGGGAATGCGATTCCCAGTTGAAAGGGAGAGAAAAATTTTTGAAATTCGCCCCTTTATTCCACAAGATTTGGGTGTCCATACAATGGATCTCTCATCCCTTCACTTGAACCTCCTCACTCATAATGAGATGCCATTATATTTAACAGAATTGATGAAAAGACATTTTTATCCCTCATTATGCTTCAAATTTTCAAAGAAAACCACAGCTATAGTTTTTGTGATTAGTGTGACGTCTTGTTGGAAGACGTAGATTAAAGGGGCCTCAGCCTGAAATGAACAAGAAATTTGGGGCAGATTAAAGGACCTCAGTGTTTTGGAAGACCAAGAAACAGAAACTGGAAGCATGATGACATGGCTTTTTTGGTTTGTAAAGAGTGAGGGTTTTTGGATAGTTGGATACAATCATCCAAAAACATGTTGAAGGTATTTTTTTTCCACTCCTGCAACAAAATGGTTTGAAGTTTGAAATGGCAGCAAACCAAAGTCTTGGATGTTCCATCCAGTTATCAAGCTAAACCTAGGAGTAGAGTATCGGAATAACCACATTTTTTTTGCTACAAGGAGTACAAGCTAAAAATCATGATGAGGTAAACATAGGGGTAGTAAGAGATGGTACGAATAATGGTTAACACTCAGAAACACATTGTTTATGTTAAATGAATCAATCATGGCAATTCAAGGAACTAGTAGATGGAGAACCATATACTATGTGATCGAACTACCCCTAAATTTTACAATAACTACACATCCATCTGAATTCTTTTGCTAAATAGAAAATTCTAGTATATTTGTAACAACTACTTCTGAATCCTACAAAAACCATACTGAAACATAGCTTCTAATTATGTCATTCAAATAGATAGGAATCACTTGTCTTTCAATTCCTTCCAATGCTCTATATGCACTCTCGATCTATAACATTGAGGGAAAAAAGTCAAGAATAAAGGGTGAAAGACTCAACAACCCTTCTGATGGTAGGCTGATTCTGCAGTTCTTTGGTTAGTGTCAATAGTCCTGTGTCTTGCTACAAGATTCCATTGTACAGTTCCATTCCAGGGATTCACATTATGAACTGTTCTTCAACCTACTTACAGTTTTCTTGTTCGTGTGAACAATGCTACTAGGATTGTTGGATGTAAGTGTTGCTGTTTGTGAGAAATCACACCATGGATTCCATCTTGTAGTTTGATAGAAGAAATTCATGGGATGTATACAACTACTTTCTTCAACCTCCCAAACTGTTTCTAGAGATTATGTCTTGCAGTTGTCAAAAAGAGGGGCAATATTGGGTTTCTTGAAAAATTTTAATAAAATTCAATAGTTTATATAACGGGATCTTAATGGATTGCTAACATAAGGGAGGTATATGTCTGATGATGTCATGTCACAAGGGAGGTCTTAGTCCATTTAGAAAAGAGAGGGGAACTCTTAGTATTTAGCATAAACATCAAGGGAGGTTTAAGTCTTTTACCCTTATTTGGGGCTGAGTTGTAATCGTAAAATTTTTGGGGGTCAAAATCCCTTGTTAAAAGGATTGGACCATTGCATCAATAAAACACTTTTCAAAGTTAATAGAAGTTATTGTTTCCTATCCGCCGCCGCCC